TTTCTCTCCAGGCGGAGGACCAGGATAACATTAAGAGCGTGGAGACGAATTGGGAGAACCTCAACCGCGCGGGTACCGGTGAGGGCGTTTCCTTGGTGCCGTTGTTTTCTCTGGCGGAGAAATCGCTGCCTGAGTCGTGTCGGTGGAGATAAATTCTGGTTGGGAGGTGGAATGTGTTGGTGACACCACACCCAAAAGCCTCCTGGGTCCCCGGGGGAGGAAGACGCGGTGCCGGTGGCTGCCCTCACCCTGCTGGCCTTGCTGCCCGTCCCTGTCCCCACGGGGCCTGTGCCTGGAGGATGGTGAAGGCCTCACTCTCAGAGCGCATTGGGGTTCTTCTTCCACGAAGACCGTGCCCAAGCCACGAGGAACCCCCCTATTCTCCCTGGTGAACCCGCTTTCTACCTTTTCTTGACTTGGCACCATCTCTGGAGGCGTTAATCGATGGTTTCTCCCCGATTGCAGGTGACGAGGAGATCAGAGAAGTCCAAGGCCCTTCCAGCAGGTTCGTTACATGGAGGGATGTCAACACCAAAGGGTTTGAGGTTGGATCTGTGGACCTGGAGATCCAGCAGCTCCCCAGAGGAAGGGGCTACGGTGGGAGGAGATGGAGCTTGGGCATCGTTAGGTCCCTTTTCCCCCCCAAATCCCACCCCTGGTTGGTGTAGCGAGACCCCCAGGATGTCCTTCCATGTCTTCTTCCCGCACCCAAGCACCGGGCGCTGGCTCCGAGGCATCCGGGTCTTTCCAAAATACCTCGGACTAACCAAGGGGTCTTCAACAGGGCGGGAGATGACAAGGTGGGGGACATGCAATGTCCAGGACCATCGTCCAAGAGCCAAGCACAGTGGATGTGAGTGGGGGAGCCGGCGAAGACGGGGAGGGGGGACGGTGGCGGGAGGCCGCAGTGGGGACCCACCACCTCTTTTTCCACCAGCTGCCAGCCCAGCCCGTATCTCTTCAGTGGACATTACCCTCCACCAGCCATGATGACCCTGGAGTTCGTTGCTGTGCTTTCAGAAAATTATAACCTCGACAAAAAATACAAAATCTGTGTCATCTTCGACCAACAAAACGGCTTCTACGAAGAATTCGCCAACATGGAGAAAAGGTAAAAAAAAAAAAAAAAATTAAAAAAAAAATCAACAAACGACACTGGAATTTAATGCCCGAGGAGGTGTTTCTGCTGCGGTTCTCCAGGCGGAGGGACCTTGCTGCAGGTTCCTACAGAGGTTGGATGTGAACCCCCAAATGGTGGAGCCGTAGCACTCTGGTGGCTCCTCCAGTCTCCCCATTGGTCCATTTTGTCCAGGGCCAAGGTCTTCCAGCCCGGTGCGAGGACGTTGGTTTAATTAGTCCCCTGGGCCATGAAGCCAGCTGTGGAATTTCTCCGTGAGGTTTTGAAGGCCAACGGTGTCTGGTTGGATGAGTCCAAACTTGACCGTTGACCTTGATGGTCAACCCCAAAGCCAACGAGCTCCTTCTCTTCCTCTTCCAGAGACAGAATGATCATGGGCAGCGCCAGGATCACCCTTTCCCGCCTGAGACAAGGACCCATCTTTTATAAATACGCCCTCGTTAACACCTTCAGCCATCAGAGAGAGTTTGAATTGGAGCACGTTTCGTTAGAAAACTCCGACATCCCGGGGACCTTCAAGCGCAGAAAGGCTCAATTCTATCGTGTCCTGAAAATACCCGAAACGGAGATCAAAGCAGATGGTAAACGCTGTTATTTACCCCAAAGTCATGACCGGACACGGTGGTGACGGTCGTAGGCCGGCTCGCCTTTAATCCTGCTTTATCTCAGGAGGTTTTAAGCTGCAGGTTTATTAGCTGCTCCTACAAATGGGCTTTTTAAAATTTGTAATAAAACTCACGGTTGGCACCCAAATCCTGTCTGGAAAATGGGCTGGAGAAGCGCTCAGATGGTTTCGTGCTTTCGAGGCTCAGCCGAGGGTGGTGTCTACTTTTTTTTTTTTTTTTTTTTTTTTTTTTTTTTTTTTTTTCTCTGCAGGAACATGGACCTTCTTTGAACGCATCGAATGCAGTTTCCCCAGCAGCAGCAGCCCCAGCTCGTGGAATCCTTTATCCAAAAAAACGCCCGGGCACAAGATCCAGATGGAATATCTGGAGCACAATTTCTCTGCTCCCACCACCTCCTGGAATTTCCTCGAGGATATGGAGAGGAGACTGGACCGGTACATGGAGAGCATCCACATCCATCTGTGGGACGTCAAGATGAAAGACTTTGTGGTCACTCACGGTTTGGACGAAGCCGTAAGTGTCCGCCGAACCCACCGGACAGGTGGCAAAATGGCGTCCGCCAATTTGGGGGATGGTTTAGACATCGTGGGGTGGGGAAGAGCTTTCCTGGCGCCGTGTATTTAGCACCGAGGACCTTCCTGGATGGACGCGTGGCACCGGGAATAAATAATTTCTCCCTGAGCAGCAGCATCTTCCACCTCTCATCCTCCTCTTGGGCTGTTCTGGGAGAAAAACCCGTGTCCAACGTGGTGAAACATCCTCTCCGTGTTCTTGTTATCCAGATGAGAGAAAATGTCAGCAGCTTCCTCCAAGGAATCACCAAGACGCTGAAGACCAAGGAATCAAAACTCCCTCAGCTCCTCTTTGTCTTTCACATCTCGTTTCGCTATAACATCCCCCTTCCTCCAGCGTCCATCGCCGAGGCTGAAAAACACTTCAAGGCCATTGAGTTTTCTGAAGAAAAATACGAAGAACTGAGAGGAAAAAGGTAATTTGGGTTGGGTCAAACTCCTGGCTTGGAGCAACGACAACTTTAGCGGGCAGGGCCTCAGCTCCATTGTCCCCACATGTGGCTTTGGGCACTGTGCATAATCCCGAGGGGGTCTTTGAGGGGGTGTAAACCTGGGTTGGTGGCTTTGGGCCTCGGGGGAGCCCATCTTGAGACACCTCGAAGCGCATTGGATGTTTCTGATATTGGTTGTCCCCTGGAGGCGTCTCCATCCAAGCTCTGTCCCGCCTTGGCACACGTCTCCCACCGCCATCCCAGAGGTCGGTTATGGGGAGTTTTGACTTTTTTGATCTTTTCTTTTTGCGGGGGGGGGGACAGTAAATACTTTCAGGCTCTGAAGGCAATGTGTCACAACACCATTGATGGTACCTTGTGGATCTGGTTGGTCCCGCTGCTCTACGCCATGAAGGAGAAGGCGGAGGACCCCTTTTCCCTGCACGAACCTCCCTCGGAAGCTTTTCTAAAGCTGCGGTGGGACGAAGACAAGCAACGGTGAGTCCGAAAGGCCGAGGTAGGAGCAGGGTGATGAACTCTCCTGCTCTTCAAAGAGTTTTTCAGTCCGTCCGATCGGCGGCTTCTCAAGGAGCTGCCCCTTCTCCTTGACGGGCCATGTCACCCACCCTGGGGGTGTTGAAGGAGCGTTGGTGGACCTCAAGGAGAGGATGGAGCCGCGCGCTGTGTGGCCTGGGGGCAGTTCTGGGGGGAGAATGGTTGGAAGGGACCTTCCAAGTTCATAGGAGCAGAGAATGGTTTGGGTTGGAAGGGACGTTAAAGATCATCCAGTTCCACCCCCAAGCCACAGGCAGGGAGACCTTCCACTAGACCAGGATCCTCAAAGCCCCGTCTAACCCGACCTTGAACCCTTCCAGTGGTGGGGAAGATGTCCCTGTGCGTGGCAGGGGGGTTGGACTAGATGATCTTTGAAGGGTACTTCCAACCCAACCCATTCTACGATCTTCCACTAGCCCAGGTTACCCAAAACCCCGTCTAACCCAACCTTGAACCCTTCCAGTGATGGGGCACCCACAGCGCCTCTGGGCGACCCCTTCCAGGGTCTCACCACCCTCATCGTACCACGTTTCCTCCTTGAATCCGACCTAAACCCACCCTCCTCCCGTTTATAACCTCCACCCTGGCCCAGGTGCAGAACCTCGCCCTTGACTTTGTTGAACTTCAGGAGGTTGGCGCGAGCTCCCTCCTCCGGCCCCACAAGCTCAACTTGAACTCTGGGTGTTGTCCTAATGACCTTAAAACGGGGGAATTGCCAAAAATTCCTGCTTTGGGGTAGAGTCGCTCGTCGAACCCCAGCGAGTCTTCGGTTCTGCTGCTGATCACGCTGTTTTCCCCATCTGTCTTCCGCAACCTCCTCTCAATGTTCCGTTCAACATTTCTAATTTCTGAGAAGTTCATCTTAAAACCCGTAAAAAAATATTAAACCCAGACGCTTTATCAACCATTTTTTTTAATACCTGTAGCAGTTGAAATATTATAATCAGTTAAAATATTATAATCAGCTTCAACACGACCAAACCAAAGGTTTCAATCTGTCTGTGTTTTAAATGTTTAAATGTTTTAATCTACGGATTAACTAGGCTGGGGCTTTTGGCCAACCACGGGACGAATGAGCAGCGCAGCGTCGTTTTTACGACTGCAGGTTATTTGAACACCTGGGGCCTTACAATAGTTTACTACTTTTTAGTCTCTTCTTCAGAATCACGATGACCATTGGGTTCTTGTTTCTAGGATCTCATTTTATTGGGTTAAAAAGAGGGATTTTCATCCATTTCTTAATGCACCTCTGCGTCTCCCCGCGGCGGTGGCATCTCAACCACCCCCAACGTGCTTCCTGGTCCTCCAAACTCCATCTGATCTCCACCTGCTTCCTTAGGAAAGTCCTGAAGATGATCAGCAACCACAAAATCTTGCTTGGAAGATGCGCGCCGCTGGCGAACAAGGTGTTGGATATGATGGCCCTCAAGAACTTCACCAAAGACCCTTTGTCCGGAATTTGGCTTCCGCCTCAGCTCTTCTTGGAGACGTTGTACGGCCGCCTCCTGTTCCTGAGGGCAAACTCGTCCCAAGGGCCTGTAAGGACTGGTGGGAGACCTTCTTCTGTACTGGTGGGACTGGTGGGGCTGTTTAAACGCGGGTCACGAGGTCTCCTGGGTTCCTACAGAGATTTTTCAGTCGGACCGAAGGACTTAGTTGCGGAAACGCGGGGTTAGAGCTGAATCCCAGGACCAAACACAAGAAAATCCCTTAAATCTTGCCAAAAAACGTTGCGCTTTGGTGTTTAAGTGGGGAAGCTCCTCAGCGGCGGGAGCAGAAACCTCACGTTTGTCCTTGACTGTCTTTTCTGGCGCCTTTTCCAGGAAGATGGTTTCGATGTGGCTTTGGAAAGTGTCGCCACCAGGATGGAGGCCTGGTTCAAGGGGCTGTGAGTTGGGCTTTCCTGAGGGGCTGGAGGGAAACTGGGGGGGGCCTGGGGGGGAT